CAAACGAAAGTTGGAAACCACCACCCCTCTTCCCCCTTTCCCCAGAATAGACATTTATTAGCATTGAGCTTTAATTGGAAATAACTTTACATTTGTAAACTTTCACTTATTAAAGTACTTGGCTCATCTTTCTTCTCTGACTTGTTTAATATAGCTGCCCATGTATTCAAGTTATTTAACTGGAGTTTTTTTTATTAATTCAGATATTTTCTGTGCACCCCTGCCCAATTACATTTAATTCCCTTTGCTGTTTTCAAAATTATGTACAGTCTCCAAATTCTATCTATCTAACTGTCTCCCTATCTGTCTGTCTGTCTGTCTGTCTATCTATCTATCTTGCATCCCAATTGCAGTTTCTCCTCCCTTCTGTCCTCTCACCCTTCCTAATCCATTCCTCCTCTATTCTGTTCAGAGAGTGGCAGGCTTCCATGGGTATCAACAAAGCATGGCATATCAAATTGTAATAAGACTAAACACCTTCTCTTGTAGTCAGTCTGGGCAAGGCAATCCAGTATGAGGAATAGGTTCCAAAGAACCAGCCAAAGCATTAGTAACAGCCCTGCTCCCATTGTTAGGAGTCTCTCAAATAGACCATGCTATACAACTGTCACATCTATGTAGAAGGCATAGGTCGGTCCCATACAGATGCCCTGACTCAGTTGATTCAGACTCTGTGAGTTCCTGTGAGCCAGATTAGTTGTTTCTATTGGTTTTCTTGTGATGCCCTTGACCCCTCTGGCTCCTACATTCCTTCCTCCCTCTCTTTAGCAGAATTCCCTGGGCTCTTCCTAATGTCTGACTGTGGGTCTCTGCATCTGTTTCCATCCTTTACTGAATGAAGGTGCTCTGATAACACTTGGGGTAGTAGTAACGAATCTGATTACAGGAGATGGCCATTTCAGGTTCCCCTCTGTATGCTGTAAATATGTTTTATTGCCATTGGTTAATAAGCTTTCAGCCAATGGCTTAACAGAGTAAAGCCAGGCTGAAAGAGATATATATAGAGAGAGATTAGACAGAAGTCAAAGAGAAGCCATGTAGCTGCCGCCAGAAACAGATGCCTCTGCTGGAGCCTGGCCTTCACCTCGTGGTGATGCACCAGTTAATGGAGATGGGTTAGTTTAGGATATAAGAGCAAGCTAGAAATATGCTTAAGCTATTGACCAAACAGTATTGCAAATAATATGGTTTCTGTGTGATTTTTTTTCAGGGCTGAGCAGGCGGGAACGAACAAACAGCCTCCTCCAACACACTATTGCTATGAGCCTTAACTAGGGTCATCTTTGTAGATTCATGGAAGTTTCCCTTGCATCAAGTTACTACCTGACCCTGAAAAGCCCCCTGCTTCCAATCATCTCTTTCAGTACTCTCCCCCTACACCCACCCACCCTGATCCCTCAAGTTCCCATTCCCAGCCGCCCCCAGTCCAACCAGGAGATCTGTTTCCCCTTCCCAGGGAGATACATGTGTGCCCCCTTGGGCTCTCCTTGTTACCTCTCTGGGTCTGTGGATTCTAACCTGTTTATCTTTTATTTTATAGTTTATATCTACTTATGGATGAGTTTGTAACATGTTTGTCTTTCTGGGTATGGATTGCCTCACTCAGGATGATTTTTTTTCCTAGTTTCATTCATTTGCCTTCAAATTTCATTATGTCATTGTTTTTAACAGATGAGTAATACACCAATGTGTAAGTGTACCATATTTTCCTCATTCATTCTTCAGTTGTGGGGCATCTAGGATGTTTTTTAGGTTCTGGCTATTACAAATAAATCTGCTATCAACATAGTTGAGCACGTGTTCTTGTAGTATTATTGAGCACCCTTTGGGTAAACCCAAGAATGATATCTCTGGGTCTTGAAGAAAATTGATTTTCAGTTTTCAGAGAAACCATCATATTAATTTCCAAAGTGGCTCTACAAGTTTGTACTCCCACCAGCAATGGAGGAGTGTTGCTCTACATTCTCTGAAGAATGAGCTGTCATTTGTGGTTTTGATATGTGGGATCTATGGAGAAATTTGTTTATTTCTTTTAAATTTTCAAATTTTGTAGGGTACAAGTTTTAGAAGTATGACCTAGTGATTTTATGGATTTCTTCAATGGTTTTGTTATGTCTTGTTTTCATTTCTGATTTTGTTAATTTGGATATTCTCTTTATGCCTTTTAGTTAGGTTAGATAGGGGTTTGTCTATCTTGTTGATTTTTCTCAAAGAACCAACTAATTGTTTCATTGATTTTTTTTTGTATTATTCTATTCATTTCTACTTTCTTGATTCCAGCCCTCAGTTTGATTATTTGCTGTCATCTATTCCTCTTGAATGCATTTTCTTCTTTTTGTTCGAGAGCCTTCAAGTGTGCTGTGAAGTCGCTAGTATAAGATTTCTCCAAATTCTTCATGTAAGCACCTAGTGCTGTGAACTTTCCTCTTAGCATTGCTCTCATTGTATCCTGTAAGCCTGGATGTGCTGTCCATTCATTTTCATTGAATTCCAGGAAGTCATTAATTTCTTTGTTTCTTCCTTGACCCAGTGATAATTCAGTTGAGAGCTGTTCAGTTTTCATGAGTTTGTAGACTTTCTGTAGTTTGTATTGTTGATGAACTCAAACTTTAATCCATAGTGGTTTAATAAGATACAGGGGCTTATTCCAAATATTTCATTCTATGAAGAATTGCTTTGTGACTGAGTATGTGGTCAGGTTTGGGGAAGGTGCCATGAGGTGCTAAGAAGAAGGTATTTTCTTTGGTGTTTGGGTGACACATTCTGTAGTTATCTATTAGGTCCGTTTGAGTCATAACATCTATTAATTCCATTATTTTCTGTTTAGTTTCTGTCTGGATAACCTGTCCATTGATAAAAATGGGGTGCTGAAATCTCCCACTATTAATGTGTGGAACCTGATATGTGATTTAAGCTTTAGTAACGTTTCTTTTACAGTTATGGGTGCTCTTGTATTTGGGGTATAGATAATCAAAATTGAGACATCATCTTGGTGGAATTGTCCTTTGACGAATATGAATTATCTTTTCTCCATCTCTTTTGATTGATAGCCACCCCAGCTTGTTTCTTAGGTCAGCTTAAATCTTTTTCTAGCTCTTAACTCTGATGTAAGTTGATGTAGTTGAGGTGTATTTCTTGTATGCAGCAGAAAAATAGATCCTGTTTTGATATCCATTCTGTTAGCCTGTGTATTTTTATTGGTGAATTGAGTGTATTGATATTAATGACCTGCTATGATATTAATACCTGTTATGTGGTGATGCTGGTGGTGGTGGTTGTGGTGGTGGTAGTCCCCCGTCTCTGCCTCCAAAGTGTGGGATTAAACATGTGCACCACAATCTACAATTCCCAGCTCTTTAAAAAACATTTATTTATTATTAATTCATTTTAAATGCATGAGCATTTTGCTTGCATGTATGTGTACATGTATGTGCCTGGTGCCTGCTAAGATCAGCAAAGTGTGTCAGTCCCCTAGCACTGGAGTTACAGATGTTTGTGCGCTGCCCTGTATGTTCTGGGTTCTGGACCCAGGTCGTCTGTAAGAACAGAAAGTGATCTTACATTACAAGCCATCTCTCCAACCCCCGTGCTGTTTCACTTTGATTCTTTCTGGTAATCTATGTGCAATTTAAGAGACTCCCCTCTGTTCATATGTCAGTTTTTACTTTTCTGTTCAGTCCTCAGGAAGTTTTCTACTTTTGTTTTCCAGTTTCTCCATTTTTTAGGTATATGAAATTGAGTATTATTTGCTGTGTTCTAAATTAATGACTGTATTATTAAAATGACTCATGTCATTGGATCCATTTTGTATTTCTTTCCTGTTACACTTTCTTTATTTTATTTTATTATTTATTTATTTTGATTTTTCAGGATAGATTCTCTGTGTAACCCTTGCTGCCTGGCTGTCCTGGAACTCACCCTATAGACTAGGCTGGCCTCAAGCTCAGAGATCCGCCTCATTTGCCTCTTGAGAGCTAGGTTTAAAGACATGAACTAACACCTTCTGGCCTATTGTATTTTCAATTCTCTTTCTTACACATACTATAATCATAATTATGTTTATGTACCTGACTAATATATACTCTTTTAGATCTGATGATTAATTGATTGTTAATTCATAAAACACTTCTTCATGTTTAGTGATATTTTTTATTGTATATTTGTGTTCTTTTGACATATGGAAATTCTATGAAATCTCAATTTAGAAAATAGCTTCAAGAGAAGTTTTACTTTTGCTTCTCTTACCTAGGACCAATTTGGGTGATAATTTCAGGTTATGGATTTTCATGTCACCTAAGTCATACACGTTCAGCCCCCAAACCTCCTCTGTTTCTCTACCTACCATTGTTTGAGCACTACTGGGTAGGGATTTACACTTAGGAATTATTCAGGACAGACCTTTTTATTGACCAGAGCCAAAATCAGAGAGTCTGATCTATGAAAACCGTATCACTCATTTACCCATTGCAGTTTTGTGTGCCACATGTGTCTGATGAAACTCACAGTGTGGGCCTCCAGGATCAGGACGTGCCTCAGAGCGAACGATGCTCAGCGTTCCCCCACCGCTGTGGTTCTCTCGCCTTTACTGCTGTTCTTCATAGAAGGCTTTTATTTCTCTGTTACTAGTTCAGCTGTGCATTGGAGTGTGTGTGTGTGTGTGTGTGTGTGTGTGTGTGTGTGTGCATATACTCAGTACTTTTGGCTATGCTTTCCATGAAAAGCTTTCTGTTACCCTGTGTTAAAACAAGTCCTTAAGACAAAAATAACCTGAATGTAAGTCAGGTAAAAATCAATAAAAGTCATATGTAGAGTGTGTCATAGAATTTAAAGTGTGTGTGTGTAAATTAGCCTTTAAATATTCAATCAGTTAAATTCTACCTCTCCTCCAAATCAGAACTCATTTTAGAAAGAGAGACAGTAAGTAAAATGGTAGATCAGACACTACTGTTGTTAAAAGTTGAAGAAATGTGGATAGTGTTTCTTTTACTGCCTTTGTCCAGGAAAGTGTCCAGGACTTGAGAAAGAGGGTCACAGTTCTTGACTGCCAGTTGCGAAAATCTGAAATGGCTCGGAAAACCTTTAAGACATCTACTGAAAGGCTCCTTCATTTTGTAGAGGTAAGTTTTCTCTAAACCACTTGTGCATCTGTGGATTTTGATAGACATGGATCCTGGAGACAACCTCCTGTATATACTGAGGTATAATTATAATACATTGTTTTGTTTAAAAAAAAGAAGTCTTGTGGGGCCTGAAGGCACAAGGTTGTAATTTAGCTTCTTGGGATCCTGAGGCTGGAATAGAGCAACTCTAAGACCGTCTTAGGCAACTAAATGAGACCTTGTCTCAAAATAAAAAGTTAAGAGGAGGGGTGAAAATATGCTTCTATGGTAGAATACTGACCTAGCACATGATGTCCAAACTCAGCCCCAGTGCTGAGAGGAAGGAGAGGGAGAAAGAATAAGTACTCTCACAGGAAAATGCCGTGCTGTTTGCTGACTACAGAAATATCTCTGTTTCAAAACAGCAGTTCTAACTTGTGGTCAGATTTAGAGGAAAAAACAGCTAATATTACATGGATTGTTAGTAATAAATATGCATGTAATAAAACATACTGTGCTTTAATACTCTCCTAGAAACCCGATAGCATGTAGACATAGTTGGATAACTATTCACGCTATCATGAAATGCTAGAGTGTTGGCTTTCCTTACCAGTTAGGAGTGCTTGCTGCTCTTGGGAAGCCCCGAATCCAGTTCCCAGCACCCATGTTACGTGACTCACAACCACCTTAAATCCAGTTCCATGGAAACCAACACCCTCTTTTAGCATCTGCAGAAGTGTACACACACACACGTACACACACTCTAGAGAGGGGACACACACACACGTACACACACTCTAGAGAGGGGACACACACACACAAATAAATTAAATATAAATATTTTAAATAAATAAATATTATCTTATAATTTTTTCCAAGTAGAATTTCATGTTAATATAATTGACTCACCCATCATAACAGGATCATTTGTATACTCAATGAAGGAGGAAATTGTAAATATTGAATAATCAAGGAAAGTTTCTGGTTTTGTTTCTAAGCTCTCAAACTTACGAATCTCCTTCACCATCTTACTTGTCACTAGGCTGTGCAGGAAGTGCTTCTGGAGAGTTCTGCTCCTTTCTCAAATCTAAGGTAAGAGTGCTCTCTGCACGCGGACACTGATTTCTTTGTGGACGACTATGGTGAAAATACTCTTGGTAGTTTCAGGATGCGGCCTGATTCCCACTGAATGCTTTTTAACTTTTTGGAAGGAAGTACAGGAACATACTATTTAGGCTCCATCTCTTTAAAAGAAACTGCTGGAAGCATTTAGACAGCCATTGTAACTTTGTACTCTAAGATTGCGGATTCACACATCCTGTCTGTGTGTGGGTAAGCTGCTGGTGGCAGACGCACCGCCGAAGACAGTCTCAGCCTGGCAGATGCGTTACGTCAAATAGAATTTTGCAAAACATATTTGCACAATCAACTTCTTTCATTTTCATCATTCGGTAGATATAAATAAAGAAGCATGTTTGTAGACTACACCTTGATTTGTTATTATCCACAGCATGCTGCTCTCTTCAGGATTCCTCTTTGCTGCTACAACACACACATAAGGCTGGTCTGTCCTAGGCCTCAGCTTTGCCTGCACTTTGGTACATGGTGAAGGGCGTCAACTGAAGAAAGATACCTGCCAGCCTGTGCTGAAAGTGCTTGTTTCTTTATGATTGCCATAGTTTGTAACATGAGGGGCCGGCTTGTTGGGGTATCCATCCCGCCCAGTACCCGACAGCTGGCAAGCCCCAATAAAAATCAATCACACAGAGAACTCTATAAGTTATAAAGCTGATTGGCCCATTAGGTCAGGCTACTTATTAGTCCTTGTAACTTATATTAACCATTATCATTATCTATGTTAGCCACACGGCTCAGTACCTTTCCTAGTGTGACAGCTTACATGTTGCCTCTTCGGTGGTCTGCGCAGGAATGGCGGCGGGAGCTTCCTCACCCCTAGCCTTCTCCTATTCTCATTGCCCCACCTCTACTTCCTGTCTGTTTGACCAGCCTATACTTCCTGCCGGGCCAATCAGCGTTTTATTAAAATACATGATTGACAGAATACAGACAATTCTCCTGCACCAATAGTTCATACTGTGTCCATCTCCAGCAGTACCACTTCCTGAAACACAAGCTACTATCATTGAGGAAACAGCAGTTCAATAGGGGAAATAAGAGCCACACACAGTGGCTTCTGCCTGCAATATCAGTACTGGGGAGGCCAAGACAAGGGAATTTCTGTTGAATTCAAGACCAGCTAGCATGGTTACAGTGAGACCTTCTCTTTAAACAAAAAAAGAGGAGAAAATAATGTCTATAGTTGCTGGCTTTTGCATTCATTTTAATGTTTTACTTCTTATTATGAAAGAATCAGGCATTTTTTGTGTTAACCATACTGCCTACAATATAATTCTATGAGTTCTATGACTATAGTTTTCATAAGGATTTTAAAATGCTCAGTAGACATATCTCTGTTTTACACGTTATGTGTGCCCCACCTCCTCAGTCTCATTTTGACCTTTATTAATTTAAAATTTTAATATTAAATACCAAGTTTAGAAATAATTAGTTAAAAGCCAAAAGCCAGTCCTTACCGTAAAGCACTTCTTAGGGGAAAAAAGGCCACTTTAAAGCTGCAGTATTGGTGCTGTGCCTTGTAAGCTAAACACTACCGCAATCCTAGTCTCCCTTCTTAATATACCACATCTTCTTTGTGAGTATTGGCCTTGGCCACTTAACACAGAGTAAAACCTATGTGTTTGAACTGGGGATTTCTTAAATTCATCCTTGTGAGTTAATACCATTATGTTTAAAAAGATGGGTTGTAAATACTGGCTTTTTTTTTTCAAACTAGAGTTGTCTGTCTTCTTTTTTTTAAGGAAAACGTTGCATTCTAAATTATGTCATAATGCATTTGTTTCAGATGACACTTTAGTTAAACTCTGGAACACAAAACAAAAAGTAATGAATATGGAAAAGAGATTTACAAGTGTGAAGGGGGACTGTCAGAGTGGGAGGGAAATAGGATCGTGGAGCATAGCCAGAATGTACTACATATCAGTATATAAGTATGATATTATCAATAAACAATTTATTAATAAAAAATAAAATAAAATGCCATAGTAAAATATATAAAGCCTTTAGGCTGTTCTGTAATTAGAAAAAACAAATGTGAGGATTTAATAGATAATTTCTTAAGTATTGAATTTATAATTAATATTACTATCAGGAATAGAAGACATCTGTTTATTAAACTAAGGTTTATATGTGTAGTCTGAAATTGTGCAAAATGGAACAGAAAGACCCAACAAATCATTTAAGATGCAGGCTTGCCTTCATTTACTTCCTCCTTATGTATAAAGTCAAAGGACTTCTTACAATATGCCTATTAATACATAATAAACACGAGCAAGCAGAGATACTAGTCTCTGTGATTCAGCGCTTGTATGGCTTTATGGATATAACGTTGCCAGAATTAGAAATGTTTTTGTACAAACACAGTGGAGATGAATTCAGGTTTACAAAGATGCACCGCTGCCATGTGCTGTACAGTGTGCTCAAGGCCGTCCTGTTGCCCACACAGTAACAGAAGAGCTGTGATTGCGTCGCAGACTTCGCTCCCCACGCTGCTGCAAAGGAACGGACGCCGCGTCCCGGCAACCCTGCTTCTGGAATCCAAGGAGCTCGTTAGAGCTGTTCGTGCCATACTTGATGTGGACTGTAAGTTGTCTTCTTCTTCTTCTTTCTTTTTTTTTTTTTTGCACTTTTTTGGTAATTTTTTAAACAAAGCAGAAGAAAAAACTCAATTCTGATAGTATAATTGCATGAAATAAATTTGTCTACAGTAAAATTGATAGCTACTCATTAAAACATTAACATGCTGATTATGGAAAAGAATATTGACTTCATTTAAAGACGACGGCTAACTGAAAAGAGCTGATTAATACACGTCTTTACTTCTATTTTCTCCCGAAACATCTTTGACATTAGAAAATAAGAAGCAAAATAAATCGTGCTAGAATGCTGACGGATGATGGCTCAGTGCTGAGGAAGAGTTTACAAATATGCAGCAGGTGTTACGTTATTGAATGAAGTAGAGTGAGGCCTGATGGCGCGAGGCTGTACCTCGAGCACCCGAGACGAGGCAGGCCTCCTGCAGCAGAAGATGCTGAGCAACGCTGAAATAAATAGAAAGCACTGCTGAGACGTAGCCAGCCATGGTGGCTTCCAACATGAATCTTGGCTCTTGGGAGCCGGAGGCAAGAAGATTTCTTTGATTTGGAGGCTAGCCTGGGTTACATAATGATTGCTAACACAGCCTAGGTTAAGTATTGAGGACCTTTCTCACGAGACCAAACTAAAGAAAAATAAAATACAAAAAACTTATTGAAATAGTGAGCTAAGTTAAACCATGAGGGAAGAAAAAAAAAAAAAAACCACCAACAGGGCTGACCAAGAACAGACTCTGGGGCAGTGAGCAGGGTAATTAGTGAAAATAATGAAAAGGCTGTGGTTCCCCGCTCTTCAGAGCTGCTGCCTCGTGGTGAGGACCAAGAGAAGCCACTGTGTGGGAACCGTGTGGTCAGCACTAGGGCTCTTTCGAGTCAACACTGTGGTTTCAAGAGAAGCAGACCCGTTTCTAAGTAACTTTCTAAGTAACTCCCCATGCCCAGCACAGAGTCCTGGGGGAACACCTGAATGACTGGACTTCTTCCTTTCCCTCACCGTGTCCCCAGGCACTCTGTCTCTTCATGAGAATGTCAGCTTTTAATAACTGTTTTCAACATACCGTTTATTTTCCTGCTATGAAAATTATAGGTGATTCTTCTAACTCTAACATTTATAAAAATCAATAATAGCATGTCAGTACTATAAAATAGAAAAAAATAGGAGGAATGTGATTCATAGCAGAATGATCTCAATAGCGGAAGTCTTCTCCAACAGCACTAGACGATGTGAACTTATAATGCTGTTATCTACACACAGAGTCCCTGCAGAAGTGAGAGCCATGAAGGTAGATTAACACAGCCACCCTTGGTTCTCAACTCAAGTAGCACAAGGTCACTGCCATCTGTAACACGGTTGTCTGAAATGGTGAACAGCTCCTGGCAAAATTCTGAACAAGGGAAAATGCAATGCTTTAGTAATTGACTCAGTGCTTCCAAGCCTGGAAAAGCAAGAATGTATTTAAACTATGCAAATGTTTTGTGTTTACCTGAAAACAAAATCATATTCCAGGATCAAGTAGCTTAAAATTTTTAAGCAACGTAAATTTCTTATTGGACATTTGAACATCATATGAGACAGAATAATTACTTTATGTTAGACTGGGATGGGGTGGGACATCCTTCCTCTCAATACCAAAATGTGCCCCAACACTGCTCCTGAGTAATGCCTCGTGCTTCCCCATAGATGCTCTGGTGGCATCATGCTTCAGCTGATACCCTGATCCTCAGCAGTGCACAGTCACCTAGTGACAGTCCATAGGAGCACAGAGCTGTAATAGAGAAATTTTATACAAAGAGAAAATAATGGTCACCAGGTAAATGAAGATAATATAATATTCAGGACACAATTACATTTTTAAATAAAATGAATTATTATACTTAAAGATATCATATCCATTATATAAGAATGATTTGCTATTAAAGAAACAAAATCTGAAGAGGATTTTGTTTATTCCTGAAAAAAATATTAAATAACCTTTTCTATTATATGAATATTATAAAGATTTTAAAAACCACTATTCATACTAGATATCCTAATGTAAATTTTGCTTTTAATTTTCTTAAGTTTAGAGGTTCTGTATTATGCAGTAAATATTTACTAATAGCAATGCCCATTTAAGATGATATTAAGTACCGAAGTAATTCTTTCAACATTACGTATCGGGATGAGCATTTCAAACCCTGATATACATATCACTTCACTCCATCTTCGTCCCTGCCCTGTGAAACACACTGCTGCACTCTTCTCCTTTCCAGTGTGAAGAACAGGCTAGCCCACTGGCTTATGGTCACACCATCAATTAGCAGTAAAGCCAGAATTTCTGAGCAGCTGTGGCTCATTTCAGAGGGTGTGCTGCTCCTGCACCTCAGACTGGAGGTTCTGGTTAGTTAAGGGTTCCAGATAGCTGATTACTGCAGTGGTTCCCAGCCTCCTTAACGCTGTGACCCTTGTAACAAAGTTCCTCATGTTGTGTTGACCCCGGACCATAAAATTAATTCATTGTTACTTCATGACTGTAACTCTGTTACTGTTATGAATTGTAATGTAAATACCTGACATGCAGGATATTTGATACCCAACTTTCAAAGGCACTGAGACCACCAGGTTGAGAACCTCTGCTGTAGAGGAGCTGCTCTAACACTATATTAGCAAGTAGCGTGATTGCATTTTAACTCACACTTCACAGCTCTAAGTATACAAACACAAAAGGTACCATAAAGAAAGAATGATGAAATGGAACTTTATACAGAGTGCTGATGTTATCATCAACTATCCTATTAATCGTTGCTTCATAATAACTTACCCCAAAATTTGATGACCAAAACATTTTAGTATTCTGCCGTTTAGTCCTGTGGAGTAGCTAAGTTCAGCTGGACAGTTCTTGGTAGGGAATTCAGACGTGGTTATAGTCGATTAACTCCTAACATTTCAGTCATTTGATGTTTCTAGTTGGCTGGACATCTAAATGCCAACTCGAATACCTGTTTTTTATACCCTCTCCAGCACGGGGGCCTTGGTAGTTAAATATACATGGTGCACAAAGCTCCCACACAGATGGTCAAATGAGCAAGAGGGAAACTGTGCCTCCTTCTGGGGCTGAGCCTCAGAGGCTGCACGCTGTTGACCTCTGCCTTGTTCTCTGCATGTGTGCAGATGATTCCAAAGGTTGGGTAGACAGATGTTAGCTTCGTGGTCACCTTTGAAGAATATCATTTTCAACATTAGAGTATATCAGATATAATTACGTTAGTCATGATGTCTACATACCATCATCTTTGTGTTAGTTAATATGTGGCACTTAGAACAGCATGTGGCCTTTGTTTCTGTCCCTTCCCTGCTATCCGTGTTGCTCCAGCGTTCCACTGTCCCTCCTACCCCTTCTCCTAACCTTCTCTAAGCCAAGAATCAAATACATCAAGGTGGATGGATGAAAGACTGACTGGATGGGTGGATGATTGATGGTAGGAAGGATGGACAGATAGACAGATAAATAGGTAGGCAAGGATGCAAATAATTAACTGGGGGAAAGAGATAATTTCCTACTAATTGTCAAAACATTTAGTTGTGGGTATAATTCTGCCTAGCAAGTAGCATTGCTTGACTTGAACTAACATTCACAGACCCTTTGGTAACTTTTGACCTAACAGATCCGTTATTGAAGATTGGAAGCCATCCCTCTAAAATACTGTCTGTTCATTTTATAAGATGAATGTGTGTTTAAATTTTTATGTAATCTAATGCATTTTAAAAATAGAGCTATCTGTCATGAAAACATAATAATTCATTATATGGAGGATTTCTCTGTGCATTTTAGGGAGGGCTAGCCCTAGTCACTTCTGATAAATATGTGTAGCTCAGAATTCTGTGTATTAAACATTTTTATGATTAGGTGGGAACAGTGGAGGGAAACACCTGCATGGACATAGCCCAGTGGACGTTGCTGCCATTAATTTTAATTACCTCACTAACATTAACCATTATCTCTGTCAAACATGATTATTCAAAGAAAATATTTGAAATTCAGCAGAACTTCTTTGGAAGAGAGCAGAAAACTGACGCACGCACATTTTATGCTGTGTGGGATTATACGTGCTTTGATGTTTCAAACCAGAAAACAGTTACTACACTGACTGCTTTTTTAAAGTATAGCTGTTAATGTTGGCATGTTTTGTCAGTGTTTTTCAACTTTATAGGCATAGCTCTTTAGGTTTAATGAGTCTTTCTTTTTCTGTAAGCAGTGATTTTTTTTTCATGTATATAATAGGAAACAGAGAATTACTAGAGTGAGGTAGCTCAGTCAGCCAAAACCCCCAACCTCATTTCTTTTGCTTTACTTGTGTATTTCAAGCTACAATGTGAAATATTCACTTGGGCAATTGCCTCCACTTTCTTTTAATATGAATACACTCCAGGATGTTATGCTAATTTTTTCTCAAAAATGTGTAGGATAAGCTCTCCTGTACCTAACAGCTTAAAAACAAGCTCAGAGGACTAAAACAAGTCTTTCTCTATCCCTCCAGCCAGTTCCCAGATAATACCATGGAGACTTCTTATTAATTATGAAAGCTAGGTCTATAGCTTAGGCTTATTCTTAACTAGCTCTTATAACTTAAATTAGCCCATTTATATTAATCTATATTCTATCATGTGATGTTACCTATCTTCCATCTTGCACCTCCTGTTTCCTCTCCGTGTCTTTGCTCCTAGCTTCCTCCTCTTTATCCCTTCTCTCTCCCAAAATCCCACCTATACCTCCTGCCTAGCTATTTACCATTCAACTTTTATTACACCAGTCATAGCCACACATTTTCACACAGTGTGCAAATATCCCACAAAAGATAACCCTGAACCCATTCTGGATTCCCTATTTTTCTGAACTTTGATGAAATCCCCCTTCCAAAAATGTCGAATAATTGCATTTTGCATCCATTTTTAGACTATTCCTGAAACCTAAGCTAGGATCTCCATATGTAGAATTTTAGGAAGCACGT